ACCCACCTCCTCTTTTTCTTGCCTCATTTACTTTGATCTTCCCTTTTTTTTCCTGTCCCTACTTCACCTCTCCTTCTCACTGTTCTTTCTCATCTTTCTTTTTTGCTCTCCTCACATGTTGTCCTCCTGTCCTGTTTATTTTTCCTTTTGGTCACTTCTTTCATAATTATCTCTGATGCTAATCTTCACTCTGATCTCTGATTATGCAATATACAAAAACAGGAATTCAGGCCCTGAAAACCACCACATTCCTGATAAAAAAATAAAATAAAAGGCAGCATATTACATCACTACAAAAAGAGATCACTAAAGGTGGACTGAGCACCTCTGAGCATTATCACGACGAGAAAGAAAAAGCGAGAAAGAACCACCGAGCACACAATGAACAGGTTGCAAATTAAGATACCATCTCTGCGCCCTTTCTTTTCATCCTCTTCCTCCCCTTTCCTTTCTGTCCCCTCTAATGTCACAGTCACTTTTCTCTTTTTCCTCCACTCTACCCTTGTCATCCTCCACACCTTCATCTTACACCTATCTCAGTAATTGAGAGGATGGTCTGTTCCCCAGCAGAAATGTCCAGGGCGTCCGCTGGGACGTTCACAAAGCCCCGCGAAGCAATCAGCTTCACTCGTATCGGCCGAGATTGCCATTTAACCTATGATTTGCTGCGTGGCACGACGGGAGCCCATTTCAACTCTCCATAGCTTATATATTTATAATGCCAAACTGCTCTGACCACTGTGTTCACACGGTGCGAAAAATGGTGGCAAATGATTTAAAGGAGCCGTCCAAGGACAAAGGAGTCACATGCAGAGGAAAGGGAAAGTACGAAAGCTGCCCACGCGCTTCAGACAGCAAGTTTACTATTTCTGTCGTGTCAAAAACCTCCAATCATTTCCGTTATTATCTGAAGGCGGCCGATATGAGGAGGAAGCGTGAAAAGTTATTAACCTTTGATCCCAGTTGTAGATATGAAGCGCTGCCAACAAAAGAGAAAGGATAAGAGGATGTACAACAGTGGAATAGAAAACAAGAAAGAGAACAAGATGGAACTTTATTGATCGCTATGGGGAAATGAGGTTGTGGCGGCCATAAAAGTAATAGGTGACAACGGACGAAACAAAAATAGACGATGGAATATGATAATAAAACAGGCAGACATAAAGTGGAATTACTTAAATATATTACAACAACAGTAATGAGTAAGATTACTTCATCCCATGCATTCTTCACTTTTAAATTTCGGCGACAGTTTCTTTGTTAAAGCTAGATTTTCATGAAATATGAAAAACTGTTTATATTAGAATAAGATAGAAATAAAAGAAAAACAAATATTGAAAAAATGAGACGAAATTGGAAGGGAAAGGAAAGGAAATGAGGAAAGATGAGAGGAAATGAAAGTAATATAACCACGGAGAGAAATATTTCATTGCTTGAGTCCCTGAGGAGAAGTGAGGATGAAAGAGGTGGGAGGCCTTAAGGAGGACTGATGCAGATGTGAGTTGTTTTATTTCCCATCCACAAACACTGGAAACCTCTGAGTTCCTGTCTATATTGGAGAAAATTCTTCTCCTTTGTCCCCACCCATGTTATTTCTTTGTAGGGGTGAAGAACCTAGAGCCACCAAATTTGATCACAGGACAAATATCAGTTGTAATTGTATCCTGTCATTTTCTTCATAACCCTTTGACCTAAAACCATAAAATTTTGGTCCTGTTGTTCTAGGAGTCCTCTCAAAGTTTCAAGGTGTTATTCCACTCCTTAGGGATTTTGGGTGCTTGAAGGTCGCTTTTACCAGCCTTCAGTCAAATACATTTCATTGTGTTGAACCGACTCCATTTCCTTCCTTTGGCGTACTTGAAGTGGATCTAGAAGCACCAACTCCGGTCCTGAGGAAACCGTTCTTTTAGCCAACAAATTTTACAGGTTTCTATCCCTCTTCGAAGGGTCAAAGCATATCTGACAGATGAACCATAGTTACGTTCGATTGTTAGGCAACCTTTAGTGGTAGTGTAAGACAGCATCAGTCTATTCAGCAAATGCCCCAAAAGGACATATGTTTATGTTCAAGTGACAAAACTCTCTAATGGTCGTGATAATCATGTTGGGATGTGTCTGGGCCAAGTCACAGAAAGAGTTCAAGGCACTACAATCACTAAATCTGACATATTAATCATTTCAATGTGCATCCAAGAAAAGTTGAATTGAGGGCAACTGGACTTGGTTATAGATACTTGAAGACCTTTCACCTCTCATCCAAGATGCTTCTTCAGAAGAAGCCGTAAAGTATCTACAACCAATGAGGAAGCTTCTTGGATGAGAGGTGAAACACCTTCAAGTATCTACTACCAATGAAGAAGAAATGTTTTCCAGTATCTACAATTAAGTCCAGTTGCTCATGATTCAACTTTTCTTGGATAACCATGACAGACATTTCCATGTTATACTTCCATCCCAGTATAAAGACCTGGTGACATCAGAAAGTGACACTGCCACTAAAGTTGATGAGGATGTACAGGAGGTCAAGGCAATGCAGAAAATTGGATTATTGGATGCTTTAAGATGCCCCCCCCCCCCATACTCCACCATCCCCTTCCACTCAAAACCACAATGAGAGAGGAGGCGAGAGATGTACGAGCAGTGGGGAGGTTGTTGTTCTCTGGCCATCAAATTCAGAGTCAGACTTTCAGTATTCCCCCCACAACGTCCACAGGATCAATTTTTACTCCCTTGTTTTGCAAAGTGTAAGATTAAAGTCTCATCTGTGCTCACTTAATGTCCAGATACAAGAGTTTTAAATTGCACTGGCTCTAATCTGCTTTTATTTGCCCTCTGGGGGCATCAGTTAGCAAGAATACTAATAGATAGTGTCAGCACTGTTGATGGAGGTTGAAACACAGAAACTAAAACTGGCTCATGCAGTTAATAATTGGTCTGATGTGTTTAGAGGGAAAGATGCTTGAAAATCTGACTGTTGCAAATTAATCCAGTTTAATTGTGCACTTGTTTTAAATTGTCTTATAAAGACTGAACACAGTGTTGAAAATCAAACAACCACAATGACGAGGCTTTAGATAGCTTAATATATATTTAATTTATCAGTGTATTACAAACACTGTAATTAATACATGTTGTGGCTTAACCCTCTGTGAGCAAAGAGCAAAGGTTTAATGCGTAAGAGATTAAAGTTTTAATTTGGAAATTTGCTCTCTCGTAATCAGTGGACGCTTTTTGTCTCTGTCTGCCATTTCCTCCCTCCTGTCCTTTATACTGCTCAAGCAGCTTATCCTTAACAACAACCTACAATGTTGTTCAAACTGATTCGCTGTCAATCCAACTCTCACCGGGCCCTTTGAAAGAAAAGCTGTAGGGATCGGCCACTGAAGGTTCACAACGAACTTTACTGTATAGGGGGTTTAAAACTCAAATGACCTGGGTGCCAGTAGTCAGGTTGTTTTCTCCCAGGAGCGCCGTTAAAACACTGAGATTTTTTAAAACTATAAACACTCTGACAGTGTCCAGCTGGTCTTTCCCTCCCCCCTTAGTGATGCCGCTTGAGACTGTTATCCTTGAGAACCGCAGCTTCCTTCATGAAGCCTGTCTCTGCTCCAACTCAACATTTTGTGGTCAGCTGCACTAAATTTACTCTAAGTGCTGTTTGATCAGAGCTAAAGTGTTGATATAAAATGAGAAATTATTACGTCGTATCGTATCATTATCCAAGAGACTCTTGTGTTTCTGTGTGTGAGGAAGAAAATTGTGGAATGGGGAATTTATAGCAAGGGGCATTTGTGTCCGTCCTTTAACTTTTCAACAACAAGGGACATCTCAACCTGTTATTGTAGGTAATCCATCTATGGCAAACACACACACAAAAAAACCCGCACAGAGATGCCTCCGCTGTTTAATTTGTGTATCAACTTTCTAGCTTGAGATAAGAGATCAGTAGATAGGGCATTCATACACGTACATCGACCCAGAGCACAAGAGCTGATGATATCTGTGCATATAAACAGGACCTTTAATAGCTGCTGCTCATTCAGAACAAAAGCTCACAGTCCTCCAGCTGAATACACTGTGTGTGTGATATCAATGAAAACCCTGCGGAGAAAATATCACGTATTTTATGCACAACCGCCGTGGTGACAGGAAGACAGGAAGTCTACAGAGACCTCCTCCGCAAGTCTGGATCCAGTGAAGCATTCTGACACCTTTGCTGCTTCCTGTTAAGATCGGCTTGTGGCTCTGAGTGGTTTTGTCAAGATGTGAAGAGGAGTGGGCTGATTTTTAATCCTCACACTGAAATTTGTAAGCAGCCTCAGCACACAGGTGGGCCGCAGTGTTCAAATGTCAGATCCACTCAGTTTACACTCCAGTCCTGGTGGTGGCCCTTGAAATGTGGGTGTGCTTCCATCTTTGTGAGGACCAATTTGGGTTTTAAATGTTGAGGTTGGGTTGGGGGCACTTTGTCTGCCCTGTTAATTATCATCCAATAAAAGAATTGCAAAATATATTTATCAGGTATTTCTGTTGAGGTGATCAGCAATCATGGGTGTACCGGAAACCAACCTGTTGACGGAAACTTTACAGAACTGTGTCTGTTACCGTACTTAAATGTTGGTGAAAAACAACCGTGGAGCTGGTTCTCGTTATCTGAAGTGTTCATACTGTTACTGGTGAAAGTGATAAATATCTCTGCTGTGGTTTATACGCTGTCAAGATGACCGATTTCTAAAACATGCTAGTAAACAGAAAGCTTCAGACTCGTGACTTTAATTTGACGATCTTGTTAGATTTTAATTAGACTGTCTGACATAAATCAAATCAAAATAAAAAGCGTTTCTACTGAGGATCATTATAAAGAAACGGGTGGGCGGGTGTATTCACAGCTTAAACTTCTATCTTATATTGTTTCCTATCTTTTGGTTTTAACAATCTGCCCTCTCACTCATCCAAACATCGATCACTAACAGAGCTGCTCCGCCTGTGTCTGTTCCCAGGCTGGAGTCTCCCACTCGCTCCCTGCTGATGGAGGCTCCTAAAGGCATCCAGATCCTGGCCGAGGCCGGAGACATCCAGGCCATCTGCAGGAACGAGCTGCGACTGGAGTCCAAAGACGGAGAGGTGCGTGAGCCAACAGCACAAATGCACATACTGTTAATTCTGGTGTCTGGTCCAACTTGGGTCTTAATAATAACATTGTACTGCCTGAAAACTGCTGAATTCTGGCAAAGCTAAGAAAGTTGTCTCATGGGTGAAGAGACATGAACAGTCCGATCAATCAGACAGATGACAAACCAGATGGTGGGCAAATGTATGTGAAAGAGAAAATAAATAAAAGTGCTAAAATTATTAACAAAGGCATCACAGTTTACCGCCTGCATCCTGCTTCAGATCTGAGCTGCCTTACTGCTATATACACAATTGTGCGTGCACAGTTTTGCTGTGCAATGTGGGATTTTGAGGAGCGCTCTCCTTCATCTAAAGTTGATGAGATAATCTGGAAAAACTGTTGGTTCGACTGTTTTTCTTGCCACGTTGGACCTCACTGTTCCCAGATCGCAGTAATTAAAATTCACAATTCAAAATTCATTGTGCTGTTATCACAACTGCAATAAAAATAAAATCCAGCACTAATAAACTGCAAAAACTGACACGTCAAAAAATGTAACTGCCCTTTAATTAGCAAGGATATAAAAATGATAAAAAATAATGCAAAGGATTGAAGAACCATTCATCAACTACATTCACTTTGAACTCTCAATCAAGAAGAAATAGATTTGATGTTTAACAAATTGACTTATCTTATTTTGAAATAAAGTTTGACATTTCAAAATAAGACAATTGGAGTGCACTTAAGAAGCGCTCTTCTAGTCTCAAGGGCTTTAAAACTGAAGCCACATTCACCCATTCATTCATACAGTGTTTTCCTACACATATAGGGCTTCTCTAACATTCACACACCGATGATGCACTGACTAGAGGAGCCGGGAATCGAACCACCGTCCTTCCGATAAGTTGACGACATGCTCCGCCTCCTGACGTGTTATAGCAGGAAAAGCACATTGTTTCTTACTCCGACAGGTCGAACTGTGTGCTGTCTCATCACTTACTTACAGAACAGTAACATTTTGAAGGATGTAATCATCTTTTTAAATGATAGCTAATTAACACCACCAGTCTTAGAGCTTAAATACAGTCTACATTGTGTTTAAATCAAACCCTTCATTAAGTTGTTTATTTGAGTGGTGACGAGCTAAAACATCCTGTTTCATTCAAGAAAAACAAACGAGCTTCAGAAATTATTTCCTGTGTTAAATTCAGTCCTGTTCCTTCAGACGAGCTTCCTGCCCGAAGATGAAAACCTCCCACTCTGAAATGAACTTTTCTTGTCTTTGGGCCATAATGGCTGATGGGGGCGCCTCCATCTTAATTCAGTGTTTGTCCTGTCCAGACTTATTTTTAGCAAACAACAGTCCAGACAATAGTTAGCTCCCTCAGCCAACACGGACAAGCATTTTGCTATTGGCTGGTGGCAATTTCCCACATACTGGCCGTCCACCAGAGTCTGTTATAGCCTCTCAGAAGTTGATTGTTTTCCTCTTTCACATGCTTTCTTTAACAACTCTGCCATCCATCTTTTCCTTCCTCCCAGTTTCCCGTCCTTTCCTTTCTCCATCCTCCTCCTTCCTCTGACCTCTTTCTGTCTTCAACTTTGCTTATTTACCATCTTTTTTTTCTCTTTTTCTCCCCATTTGCTCATCCACTCCTCATCCTCACGCTGCCTCTTTTTCCATCTTTCATCCCTTCCTCCCTGCTCCTAAATTCCTCCAACCATCCCCTGATTCGTTACACACATCAGTCCTCGCATTCATCACGGTCGGCTGCGCTGATAAAAGGATTTCCCTCCTTAGGTTGCACCAGTCGTGTCATGTCAGATCTGTTAAAATCAACGGAGGATTAGGGAGAAGAAAGTGTTTAAAAGTTTCCCACAAAAACAGTTTCATACATTAAGACAGGCTGCTGATATGAGATGGGTGACGAGAGAGAGAGAGAGAGAGAGAGAGAGAGGCTGTTTCAGGAAGGTGCCCTTGGATTCAGTTTAGTCCAATTAAAAGTAACCACAGTAGTGGTCTGAAGCCACGCCTGCATCACATCCTCTTGCAGTTTTCACGGGTGTGTGGTCGAAAATGAGGCTGTTGAACTCACGATGGTCAATTCATATAATTAGAATCACGGTCTCACACTCCATTAGTGTTGCAAATGTCCATTTGTCAAACCTCTGTCTTACACACACACACACACACACACACTCTGCATTGCAACTGCAATTACAGAAAGGTTTTGGTCATTAGACGCCCACAAACCACACAAGGCCGATACAGAAATAGACTCATCCACACTAGACGGTGAAACAGTGTGGATTCCTGAAGCCGCTCAGTCACGTAACTTCACCCGCTCTAACAATCGAACAACAGCAGGAAAGTGAATTTTGAGAGAGAACAATGCACCAAGCGAAGGCTGTGTTTGTGTCACGCTCGGCTGCACTGATAAACGGATTTCCCTCCTTAGGTTGCACCACTTCAATGCAAAAAAAAAAAAAAGATTCTAGCAATTATATTAGAGGGGGGCCCGAACACACTGGGTGTGTAAAATCTTGCTGGTTTGCCAAAGAAAAGGAGGAGGAGTTTTCATCTGCCACAGGAAGCTTTCAGGTTACATTATGGACAGCTGCCACGGGACTGGTTGCACACTGAACGGTCGCTGACGAAGGTGAAACTGATGAACTTTATGGATGGTCCTCCCATGATCGCCAAAGCTTCAGCCCTTCTGACCAGCCGGTACCTGTCTGCTTCAGGAGAGCCCCGAGCCCGGCCAGGCCGAAAACGACCTCCTTCGTCAGCTTGACAGCTTCCCTCACCACCAGCGGGTTCACGGGTTGCTACCACCACAGGTACAGATGACCCTCCAACCACAGCTGCTGACAGCCACGTCCACATGGAGGCTTCTCAGATCCCATGTCCCCAACCTTCCCCTGACGGACAGGGGCCCTCAGCCAGACATTCCCAGTTCACCATCACTACACATTTAGGTTTACTGGGCCGCCTCCCTCGCCATCTGATCACCAGGGATCAGCACACCCAGGTCCCTGACCGCACCTGCCGCCCAGCTTACAATGCACCTCAACCTGATTGCCTACCCCAGCGAGTGGTGAGCCCACAGTGTGGTGGCTCCATGTAATTTCATTGGGCTTTGCCTTTCCCTCAGGTAAGCTCCCCTCCCTGGTCTGGCTCCAGAAAGGTGTCCAGATTTCCCTAATCTGGGCAAGGTGACACAGTCCTGAAGTTTGCCTTTCATCTGATTTTTAGTTCCCCTGGGACCAATTAGAGAGACTCTACCACGGGGCTTACACAGCTCCCAGGATCACTGAGACACACAAACCCCTCCGCCACATGAAGGTGGCGAGTCCCAGAGGAGTATTTGCATCACCACCTGCGTAAAAACTGAAATCAATGAGTTTTACCTTTACCTGCCAAAGGCATGTGTACTTTTGTCCTTCACACTCACACACTCGCTCTCTCCGCTCTCCACACACGAAGATCATCCGCCCACACGCTCTCTTACACACAGGTCCTCTCAGTGTTTCACATGGTCCACCCCTCGTGGTGAAAGATTTGTTCAACAGCAGCTGTCTGAGGAACTCAGCTGAGACTCTGCTTTAAAAGTGTTCCAGGTCATTTGATGGCGATGCCTCCCCAAGGCGCCCGGTAATGGCTCCTTTACCTTTTTTATAGCTGGAGAGCTCCTCCTCCCCTCGGCCAATGAAACACCAGCTCCGTATGAGCCCCGGGAGGCCGGGAGGGAGGAGTGGAGGGGAGGGCAGAGAGATGGGATTCATGCAGCAGTGGTTTGTGTCTGTGCACAGGTAGAAAGTCAGTTTGTTCCAATCAGTGTGAGGTTGAGGGGAGTGAAATCAGTGGATGAGTGGCTGTGTGTGGGTGTCTTTTTCTCAGGGTGGCTGAAGGAATCGCCTGGAGTTTTACTTTCTTTTTATTGCTCAGGAGTCAAGAGGAAAGACCTGGGAATCAGCAGAGAGTGAACTATTTTCTGCTTAGCTGGACAGGGTTTTTCTTTGTTGTCTGTCATTCTGTTTTTCTGTCTGTCAGCAGAGTATCTCAAAACATCGTAAATTAATTTCTAAGGATCTTTGGGGTCAAACGAAGCACCTGGCTGGAAAGGCGTACAATTTCTCACCGCATTGAGGTGACGCAATCGTAACTTGTGCAGAGATTAACTGTTAATTCATACTGATATCAATAACAGGAAAACTGCCTCGAAGATTTTGAATTACAATTTGAATATAGGTGTATTTCATATGTAATCTCTTTTACAGTCATGATCGTGAATGTTTGTTTGACGCTTGAACGGTGGAAGTGTGTAACTGTTACATACGACTTAACAAGAACTTGACTTCGAGTTATCCATTCAGCAAAAGTCATCTGAACATAGTTACAGTGATGATCTAGACTCTGGAGAGCCCCTGGCAAAGAAGCCCATCGAAGAAACCAATAGATGACATCAACGCAAACCTTTCTTACATCCGGACCAATTTGCCGTCGGTACTACAGATCTCGCTTTATATGCAAGTGACAATGTGCAGCGGTTAGGAGCCACAGGTGCCATTTCTGTGAGTCCGATTTTGTGAGGTCTAAGTCTTGGAAAGAGAAATAAAAGCGAAGTTTAGAAAAGCAGGTGAAGAGATTTGATTTGAGAGCAATTACAGCGAAGAGACGACAAGAGGAAAGGAAGGAAAAGATGGTTTTTATCCTATAACGAGTGATTCCTCTGGTCTGAATGAAAAGCAAGAATCATGAATATATGGAGGTCGAATACACCGTACGGTACGAGGACAGGTAGAGGCAGGACGCTCAGAAGTTTGTTGAGGAGTGACTTGGGTGATTTTAGGGAGATTAAAGACGAGTTAAGCCGCAGCTGGTTCTCTGCCAGATGTTACACATCCAGACTATGGACAGAAGAGTCCCGTCCAGCTGGTCTCAGTCCAAACATCTTAATGCAGATCAACTGTAACTCTACTTAACTTAGAAGTGTCCTTTAAACAGTCTTAGCACAGAGTTATGAAAGCCTGAACCTTCACAGTGCAGTCTTAAGAATCCAGTTTACTGTTCAGGAATTAGCTCATATTTGTAATCTGACTGCTCATTAGCCGAGTTAGCTTAGTGCAAATTAAACTGCAGTGTCTTGTTTTTTTCTATGTTAAAGGAGCTATTTATAAGTTTTGCTATTGCTACATAGCTAACTTTAGCATTAGCAGCTGTTTACTTACCAGTTCTAGAAGAAACGTTGCGAGTTCAACATCAAACTTCCTTCCTTTACTCACCAGCAGCTGTTTCCAGTGTTAACTCCTGTCTCTATCATGCCTTCTGCTGACGTTAGCACGCTAACCAGCTAGCCCCGGCGCGTCTCATCACTTTCGGATAGCGACTCGCTGTAGCCTCCAGTCTGCCCTGAAAACGTGGCGCTGCTCAGAGGACGTATTATAACCTCTTATATTATAAAGACAACGATGGCTGAAGCTCTTGTCAAGCGACTATCACCACAATCTGCTCCCAGCAAGAAACCACGTACAGATATGTGTATGCACCTGCTGCTTGTACGTTGAGGGTCTTTGTTTAACAACTCAGACTGATGTCAAAACATACAAGAAACTCCACATCTCTCTGATATTTCCCTCCAGTTTCTCTCCTTTTTCCTCTCGTCTCTGCATATTCATGGAGCAGAGTTGTAGCTTTAGGATAAGCACAAACTTATCCAACTTGCACAGTCGTGTCTTCCTCAATTTCTTAGAGCAACTTCGCACCCACTCATGTCTGCACTCATTTCGTATGTAAGATCTACCGACACTCTAAGAAAGCAAGAAAAAATATTTACAAAAACACTAAATCATCCTCAAACTAGAATCCCAGATTTCCAAAACTTTCTGTTCTTCATCATTCGTTTTCTTCCAACTGTCTATGTCTGCCCATTTTTTTCCACTCTAACCGGTTTTCTCTCCCTCCACCTCAGATCTCTCTGGACGCTCGGAGGATTCGCCTGATGCGGCTGCCGGAGGGGAAGGCCTCCACCAGCTCCTCGTCCTCCGGGACCAGGCAGACTGTCTACGAGGTTTGCGTTTGCCCCAACGGGAGGCTTTTCCTGTCCCAGGCCGGCACCGGATCCACCTGCCAGATCAGCAACAATGTCTGCCTCTAGGACTGATGCATACAAACACGAATCAACACAGAGATACCCCGAAGGAAAGACAGGCAAAAAATAAATAAATAAATAACAGACAGATGTACACACATCGCCTGCCTCTAGGACTGATTCAGAGCAAACACAGACACATACAAAGACTGCCAGAGCTGATGGATAAACAATCACAGATACTGTGTATACAGATACACTGACGCACACACTTCACGATCACAGGCAACACTCTGACTGATATTTAGGCTCAACCGATATGTTTTAAAGGACCAGTACGGAAACATTTTGAACCGAAGCTGACGACAGCTGATATTTTGTGCCAATATTTCAATGCTAAACATATTTTTTCCCTTAATTTTATATGAGGAGAAGCCTTTGAAAACAGCATTTAGAGCATCACGGGACACGAAAACTCTCCCCTGAGTCTCCTACATCTAAGCTCTTTATACACACAGTACACTAGAACATATTAGGCTTTTAAATTGAAATACGTGAATGAAAGAAAACAAATGTGTTGCATTTTAACACCTTTTTAATACAACTGAATACATGACGCTGAATGGAAACACTAATATTTAATAACAGGAGAGTATTGGTGATATATCGGTCTGACCCTAACAGTCATACAAATGCACACACTGGCTTACAGACATGCATATACACAGTATAGCTATTTTAACATGTGAACATGGTGTGCACACACACACACACACACGCACATGCACAGGCACGCACACACACACACACTCACATACTTTTTTGCTCCTGGTAGAAACTGAAAGGAAAATCTCCAGAGATTTTACTAGAAGAGACACTGATCTGTTCCCTTTCTCCCTCAAGAGCATTTCAGTACCAGAATCACTAGGGTGATCACCCATGGCAACCACGGCCCTCCCCAACCCACTCCTCCTCCTCCCTTCTGTTCTTCTTCTCCTTTTTCCTCACCTTCTCTTCTCCCTCCTCCAACGCTGAACCACAGCTGAGATAATTCAAGGATTTTTACTCCCCCTGTTTTCTGTTTTAAAGCCCAGTAGGCAAACTACATGCACCTAATGACTGCTGCTCCCAATGTGAATCCGATCAGGATGCTATAATAAGCATAAGAACTTGGATACTGTCTAAGTCATTGCATTTCAGTGGAAAACACACACGAGATCCAGATGTGCTACTGTATATGTGGGTTTGCATTAAGTGCCGTTAGTATGCCTATGTGACAGTGTTTTGTTTGTTTTTCGATGCTAATGTGGGAAAATTTCCAAGTAAAGGTTTCGGTTATTAGGCTAAAATATGATGATGCCATGGTCACATCATATCGCATTTACCCCAACCCTGATTATTCAAATTAGCCCCCCCCCCCTCTCCCCAGTGTTATAGTGACAGTTTGTTGGTGGGTATTATTTGATTTCACAGTGACAACAAATGACCTCACCGTGTTGGATGTGGACGTCCAAACATGTTAATCAATTGATCACTCTGTCGGTGAAGTCCCACTGTCAGAGAACTGTGGCCCATGTCAAACCTCGCAGGCTAACGGTTAGCTTTCTCGGTAACAGACTTTGTTTAAATTATCAAAAGGCAGTGGCAGTGGGTCCTCACTCCTGTGCTTATTGTGATATGACATGAACATGGCACCAGTGCCTCAACACACTGGCCTGTTTAGGGAAAAAAGATCTGATGTGAACCGATGACTTTAAATTCAGTGGGTAGTTGATTTAATGTTCTGTTTTGCCTGCATAAATGTTTCCTCCTGGCAAAACAGCATCACCCTCCTCCGTCCTGACAATGAAGAAAACTGGAAAAAAAAAACTAAAAAAAAAAACTAAATGTCCCATGTGAGCTGCTCCAACCTCGGTGGTGGTCACCCTACTTGTTTCTTGCACTGGGACATTTTTAAAGAAAAAAAAAAAAAAAAAAAAGGACAAAAAAACAAACTATATTGCGAGCCACTCTGTTGAAAGAGGGGAACTGTGCCTGTGCCTTATGTCGATGCACTTGTGGCAAGAAGAAGCACATCACACAGACTTTCTTTGGCATCAGCGAGTAACATGGTCTCTCTGGTTTCAGTTCAGTTTCATCCTACTCACAAAACCTCTCCCTCTGTGCGAATGCAAAGACCTTCAGCCGCATCCGACTGTAGCTCGTCCTGCTGTCGACGCCTGATTCTGCAAAAGGATGTGTCATTTTTCTTTTTTCATTTTTGGGACGACCCACTGGTTTACTTTGCTTTTTCATGTTAAATGTTGAAATGCTGAACGTGGGATCCTGTGGAGTTCGTCAGGCAGATTTACGGCACTGATGGGGTCTGATAGCCACTGCTCAATGAAAGCCACTTGCCCAAAAAAAACAAAACATCTGCTTTCGTTCTCTGGTTCTGTTTAAGCAGCTCAAATCACTTGGTTAAAAGTCCCGTTTATTTTACACTTCCTGTGTTTTATTTTGAAGTGTTGATCCATAAGAAGATATATTTGTGGTTTTAAGAACCAAAAAACATCTCAGTGTAGTTTTACATCTCCTCTCTCAGGCTTCTCTCTGGAGCTCTAGTCACACTAGAGGCTTGCTTTGTTGTGACATCACAAAGTTACAGGAAGTCCTGACGGCTGGTTTTAAGGCTCAGTTTCTGAATACAGGCTGTGTGCATTTCTTAATACAGAACCTAGACCTGATCTATAATCAAACTACACATGGACATCTCATTTCATACTATATGGGACCTTTAAGGGTTTTGCTAAAAAGTGACTCAATTTAGCATATTTTCAACATTTGTTTGATAATCTGGGAAAATTCAATAAAGATCTTGCGCAACAACACCCACAAGAAGCTGGACGCTTTTTACCAAGTGGTTTGCGATGTTGAACACACTCGTAGGCATTTATTAATATCCTGTGTTGTTGTTTTAAAGTGTCACATCCTTTCCAAGAGTCGGGTGCACCAACCGTCTCTCTGTCTCTCAGCCTCTCTGTCGCTGTATATTAAAGGACTTTCAGAAATATTTCACAACAAATTGAACCTATCTGATGTATTTGTTTTTATTTGAATACATGTACCCAAGAGGAAATACATCTTTTTATACGGTTGTTTATGTAAATATTGTACACATGGCCGCGTCAGCGAGCATCGAACACTACACGCCGACGAAAGAGAAACACTGCTCTTTGGCAAAAAGGAAATCCGTTTTTTTTATAATGTACATCAGTATGTGTTTTTATACTTAAAAAAAGATAATGTTAAAGGATATTCATTGAGTTAGCATGTACAGCAATGTATACAATGTTCACCTGAGGAGAACAAGCTGGGTTTGTTTTTAATGCCTTCTCCTTCCTGTGCGCCTCCCTCCCGCCGAGCTCAGATGCTTCACACAAACACAAACCTGCTTTCTTTTTTGTTTTGTTTTGTTGTTGTTGTTGTTGTTGTGTCGGGCCCGAGGTCTTTGCATTCTCTCCAAGTGTGCTGTGTGTGTGTAAATTTGTGCTACTATGAGTGAGCTTTTGTTTTGTTCCTCTGCTCCACAGAACGTGTTGAACGATTCTCAGAGAAGCAAAACACACAAACCAAAAGTTTAAAAAATTAAATAAAATAAAAATTTGCCAAGAAGGAGTTGATACACAGGGTTGAGGAGAAATACGCCACAATTATCAATATAATACAGAAAGTGGCAACAAAAATACACTGAAATTACTGAAAAACATAATTAGCAGTTATCAGATCATAGACAATATTATCAATCAGGCTACAATATTTTCATGCTTGATTCTATAAGTAACTACTGTAATTTATTCACACTATCATGCAAATTCATTCATCGTGTCTGTCGATGATGACTCAGAGTGTGCTGCCAATCAATCAATAATATTGGCCTGATCACGTTCTGTGAGCGGTTCTTCCAACCCTGTGTGTTCTCGCTCTCTACTTCCCCTTCCTGGCGACACACCGGGGGCGGGGTGTCACCGTCCATCCTGAATACTCACACTTTTCCTTCATCCTTCAGTCTGAAACTGCCGTTCATGGAGTAGTTTTCAAAGATGCCAAAATAAAAAGGCGTTGTTCAAGTTGATTGCAGTAGTTATTGGATCCTCCCTGATGAGATAAAATAACCGCACTGATCGAGAAAAAACTTTGTCTTCAGAGTCGAGCTCTCTTCAACAGAGACACGCTCGGCTCTTTTTCTTAGCTGAATGAAATTAATGAAAATGTGGCGATTCATCATTTTAAAGGAACTATTTGAAAGTTTTGCTATTGCTACATAGCTAGCATTAGCATTAACAGATGCTTACTTACTAGTTTAGAAGAAATGTTGCAAGTTCAGCATCAAATTTCCTTCTTTTACTGGCCCAGAGCTGTCTAAGCCACCCTCTTGTTTTACTTCTATTTCTAGCACTTCTTTTTTTTGTCCTGAAGTTAGCATGCTAACTAGCTAGCCCCAGCCCCGGCTGGTCGTCTTGTCACTTTCAGTCACTGTAGTGTCCACGCCGCTCAAAGAATGTATTATAACCTCTTGTCTTGTAATTGTAACAATGGCTGAAGGTCTTGGCAAAACTGGTAAGTAAACAGAATGCTAACGTTAGCTATTTAGCAATCACAAAACCCCAAAACAGAGCGAGGATGAGTAGGATATGCTAACATACTTACCAGTCTTGCCAAGAGCTTCAGCGTTTGTTTTGTGTGGACGCTACAGTGACTCGGTGTTGGAAAGTGACAAGATGGTCCAACCGGGCTGGGGCTAGCTGGTTAGCATGCTAACTTCAGTACAAAAACAAAGAAGAAGTGATAGAAATAGAAGTAAAACAAGACGGTGGCTTAGACAGCTCTTGACGAGTGAAGGAATGAAGTTTTGACGCTGACCTCACAACATTTCACCTAGACTGGTAAGTAAACAGCTGCTAATGCTAATGTTAGCTATATAGCAATTACAAAACTTACTAATAGCTCCTTTTAACTTATCAGCTTCATCACGAAACCACAAAACAGAAGAGTGAGGATGAGTAGGACGTGCTAATTGATCAGCAGACTGATGGTTTGAATCACAGTCATCATTTTTAATGACATTCTCCCTCTCGTTTCTGTCTTGTTTCCTGCTCTTGTGTAATGCTACAAGACTGTAACAAGCAACACAACGTCGGTTTAAATATAGTTTTCGGAGTTTCAGAAGCTGGTTTCAGGCAGTGTGAGAAAAACAGGACTTTGATGCCAAGCACTAAGTTTTATATTAAAGAAACAGAGAGTCAACTCCTCCCTCCGACTGAGCATCGCTGGACTAAATTCTTTTTTATCTGCTTTGCAAACATGTCTGCTGAACGTTGGGGCGTCCAGGGGCAGAGGGAGGGCAGCCGAGGTTACAGAACCATACCAGTCAGTTTTATTTCATGTCAATATACGACCCAGGAGGTTCACAACTTTATTTATGCATTTATTTTTTATTTACAAGAGAAAACTACCCCTTGCTGTATATTTTATAGGCTGGTTCCAGTAGTTTTAAAGCTCTATAAATTCAAATCTGACCACAACAAAAAGAATTTCATTTTGTTCCTGACAGTGTGGAGAAGATGGATGCATCCAGATGTTAACATTATTATAATTAAACAGTTAAATAAATAAATCAAAATAATTTAAATTTCTTGGTCAAAAAGATAAAACAAGGGAGATGCACAAGTAAAAAGTGAATCAAACCCATTAAGGGAAAATATAACTTGAACATGAGATGAGATCTTCTTCTTTGAAGAACAAAAGATTTTATCATCCTTTAAAGGAAAAATAAAATACTTTGGAAATTGTGAAGAAATATGACCCCATACTCTAAAACGATATTTCTTGGTCAGTTTGGTTGTTTGGGGAATTTTTTATCATCATCATCAGTTTGTAAGTTCGACAGTTTTTGATTTATAGTTTCATTTAAGAGATTAAAAAAAACCCCTTTGAAACTGGAACGTTACAACACAGACGCTGGATCTTAATCTACACAGAACGTCAGCATTTCACCGACATCTTCATCATCGTCATGACGCTGTCGTTCTGATGGCTCATGAGTCATCGTGTGTTTGGATGTTTGGATCTGAGTGTGAAAGCGGCGGCTGTGCAGAAGAAACCCACTGAAGGGAAAAAGCCCTGGAGCTTTTTGTGAGGCTTTAATGAGGCTTTTTATTCCAGAGGAAACACTCCGGACTGTCTGCTTGTGTTTTTTAAGAATCACAAATGCATACAGTTGTTTTAGTTCAGGCCTTTTTTTGCTGTCCAGTGCAAAGTGGAAATCTTGTCCCCAAGATGCCAGGACCTGCAGCAGCTGCTCCGCTGACCCTCCTGTCGCTAAAAGTCGAGCGTTTCATCCATTAAAA